CCAAGAAGTGACTCGAACCCATACTGCCCGGAGCAACGCAACTGGTATGTACATGACGCCTTCATCCGCTTGACCATCACGACCGGACTAAGGAAGTGATAGCCGAAGCTATTTGAACCACTTACCCTCCGGCACTCGGATGGTAATCTTGGGCATAGCATTTTATCAAATCACCTCATTCTTTGGGGCACACGTGAGGAACACAAATGCGAACAAGCTTAAATGGTCCCCAGGACTATTTGCAACTGAAAACTCACACCCCAGAAGTGACTCAAACCCATACATATTATATATATATATATATATATATATATATATATATATATATATATATATATATATATATATATATATATATATATATATATATATATATATATATATATATATATATATATATATATATATATATATATATATATATATATATATATATATATATATAATATAATATAATATATATACACATATATTGGTAGCAGTCATTTTTGTAAACATATGTTCTTGAACATGACTGAATAGGTAAGATTAATAATTCTAGCACGAAACGTCTTAATATTTCTTACGTTTTTCTTCACTGTCGAGGGTATTTGAAAAATTAACTCTAAAAAATTTATTTTTTATTTCTGGTCTGAAACCTGAAAACGTTTCGTAATTCTTATTACATTTTCAAAGACTAGTTTACATATATAATACATCATATATATACTCGTTTTGGGTGAGGTGATATGGCACAAATTTTTTGGGTGAGGTGACAGACCTATGACAGAACACGAATCAATGGGGATAAATTTGGTATGAAAAACATAGGAATGGAAGTAACTGCAGAAGGCCTATTGACCCATACTTTCTCTTGCTGCTTCTATGTTGGTTTCGAGTTTTGACGTGGGTAGAATATAGTTGTGCATTATTTAGCTGTTGATTGCTGGTGTTGACTTTTTGATGTGTAGTGCCTCGCTGATGTTGAGTCTCCTGCTATCACTGTATTTATCGATGATTTCCATGTTGCTTGTTTGACGGTGTCCCACCCTTATATCTTTACTCTCCTAGTATCAAGAGTCATATCTCTGCATCCTGAACGTTCTCTGATGCCCTGGGAATATTTTAAAATAAATGAGAGTATGAAACGTTATCGAGTTAGCAATGAATTTGCCGTTTTAGTTTTGTTACACAAGTGGCTTACGCCCTTTCGAGTTACAAGATGACGCCGAGGCGCTCAGCTTCCCGCCAAAGGTGCGTGACGCCTGCTGGCTGTTGATTGGCCAGGTAGGGTTACGTGACATCATAGACCAATGGGGAGGAGCCCTCGGGCGGTGTGACATCACGAGGAAGAGGGCTCCGGCCGGCGAGTGCCCCGGTGGGCTCATTATGTCACGACCTGTCGTTAGGGAGCCGGTCGGCCGAGCGGACAGCACGCTGGACTTGTGATCCTGTGGTCCTGGGTTCGATCCCAGGCGCCGGCGAGAAAAATTGGGCAGAGTTTCTTTCACCCTATGCCCCTGTTACCTAGCAGTAAAATAGGTACCTGGGTGTTAGTCAGCTGTCACGGGCTGCTTCATGGGGGTGGAGGCCTGGTCGAGGACCGGGCCGCGGGGACACTAAAAAGCCCCGAAATCATCTTAAGATAACCTTAAGAAGATAACCCGTCACAGAGTGTGGCCGCGCTCGAGTGAGCTCCCAATTTGGAGGCTGGGAAACCCCAACCAGTGTACCCAAGCAGCCGCATTGATATCGCAGACGTCGTGGGACATTACCTTACTCCTAGGGAGAACATGAAAACAAGGATTGGCTGACGTTAGAGCGCCAAGAGCTCCATTACTGATAGCCTGTGACAGAGTCAAACGTTGGGCTGGGATATCTGGGACGCCTTGCGGGCCATGTTGAAACGCATCAGGCGAGCTGCTGTAGCTGAGCCAAGTCCACTTGAGATTTGAGGAGGGGAAGCTGGTCCGGATTGCAAGTTGTGTCCACAGCTCCAGTGAAGAGAGGAAGAGGACGAGGCGCACGAGGACCTGACTCCAGTATCTCGAGAGGAAGAGGAGGAGGACCTGCCTGCAGAGTGTGAGAACGGCGAAGACGCGCATCTACAAGTTGACTGGGGACCTTGTGTGGACAGGACCCGGATCAAGGGACGCCCAAACACCAGGACCGGGGACCTCAGTAATCCTCGCCAGAGGATACGTCGACTATGTAGCAGAAAGAGTTAAGGTAGATCATTTTCCCCCCATTTTCCCTTTGATATAAGTGAGCTAGAATATCTTGTATGTCGTGAGTATTGTCTCTATTATTACTACCAGTGTGGTAGAGAATTTAGGCTAGGAGCCATGTTACTCATGTAGGCGTGAGTTAATGTATATATATATATATATATTCACGTGGGTGTAGAGACATTTTGGGCAGCTGGAAGAAGTGGTTAGATCCAGGAGGCCAGGAGCGAGCTTCTGGATCGTCCAGCTGACTGTGTTGCCAGAGGCGCGTGAGGAGTGATGCCGCCGTCGAACAGCTCCAATTACATCATTGTTTATGCGGATCCAGTATAGTTTCTTGAGTAAACTTATCATCAATTTTAATACGTGTGTGAGTGAACCTTCGTCTCTAGGGCTATTTGAGTAGGCCATATAAATATATATATATCGTTCTGCACTGCATCTGATATTGAATCCTTGGTTTGAGGTAACAAATAAGACTACTGAAAGTTTGAGGAGTGTTGCTGGGACACGAGCGCAAGCACACAGCTGGAGACCTTGATAGGGAGAGAGTTCCCATTGTCACAGCGGGCAGGTTCAATCGAGAGACAGGTGAGGTGAGGTTGGAGTTCCCCAATCGCCAGGAGTGCAATTCAAGGCCAGCTCTTGGTAGAATGAGGGGCCCCAGGGCGAGCAGTGGCGCTCGGGTACGGAGGGGGCGAAGACCCAAAGGAATAACCCTAATTACACAAGTTAAAAATGGGTGAAACGTGAGAGTGGCGACCTTGCCAGGATCTTGAGTGAGTGTTGCCACGGATTGCAAGTACAGGGACAGCGATCCCAAGGTCGATGTTGAGTGTCGATTTTGGTCTGTGATTTTAGTTTACACTGCTTGCCTGCACTGGCAGGTGCTTGGGACGGTTCTTCCCTAGTGGCCTCTTCTAGGGCCTTGAGCAGAGCCACGATCTCTATTCGTCGCTCTGCCACCCAAAGTGGTCTACCACTAGCTGCAGCTGGGTCTTGGTGCACTCTTCCAGCACTCCCTCGTCCCTCGACTCCACAAACCTAGCTATTTTCTCATCCTCCAACAACAACACCTGCCAGTGTTGGTGGGGACCGGAGCAACGCAGGAAGCAGCAGGGGGTCCAGCGGAAGCAGAAGTGTGAAATTGGAGCTGATGAAGATGCAGTTGGAGGCGCAGCTGAGGAGAGAAGAGCGTGAGTGCAGCTGTAAATGGAAGAGCGTGAGGAAAGACGTCCAGCTGCAATGGGAGGAGCAAGAAGCACGGCTGCAACGGGAGGAGCGAGAGGCACAGCTGCGACGGGAAGAGCGAGATGACACAGCTGAAACGGGAAGAGCGGGAAGCGCAATTACGACGGGAAGAGCGGGAAGCGCAATTACGACGGGAAGAGCGCGACGCCCAGATCCAGTTACGTCAGTAGGAAATAGAGGCCAACAAGGAGGTCGAGCTGAGGCGAGCAGAGCTGGAGGTGACCCCACCACCGCCACCCAGGCAACAGGATGCCCACCGGCTGAAGGAACGAGACCTGCCAGTTTTCGTACCTCATGAGGCCGAGGGTTTTTCGGCCATTTTGAAAGGGTCGCGACCTTGAAGAAATGGCCGGAAGCGGATAGGGCGGAATTGGTCCAGAGTAGGCTGACTGGCGAGGCACTTGAGGCATTTAATTAACATGCTGGACCTCGACGAATGTACAAGGTATGAGGCCGTGAAGAATGCCGTGCTGCATTCTTTCAAATTGACGCCAGAACTGTACAGGAAGAGATTCCGGGAGTGCACCCGAGCACCGGGGAAGTCGTACGCCAAGACTGGCAGAGAAATGGAATGGAGGTACTTGAGGTGGCTGAAGGCCGATGGAGCTGAGACGGCCGAGGAGATCTGGCAACTGATGATAATGGAAGAGTTTATGTCGGTATTCCACCCGGAGCTAACGGTTAGAGTACGGGAAGCAGACATTAAGTATCTCAAGACAGCAGCTGATCGAGCGGACATGTTGGAGGAGGCATTGGGCTCTCTGAGGGAGAGTCGACTCAGACGGCCAGCCCTGCAGGAGGACGACCGCTCGTGGAGAAGCCATAATGTGAAGAGTGGGAACAGATCAGGTGTATCGTACCACTCAAGTGACAAGACCCAAGCCCAGGTGAGCTTGCGAGAGCCCACGAGGAAGTCTCCAAGTGGCAGTACAGGTAGGCACTATGGTGCAAGCAGCTTGAGTAGAGAGTACGTGTCTGGGAACTCTGAGAGGACCCAGAGCTTGACAATCCAGCAAGGTGTGGACCAGGTGACTGGGAGAGGTCTACCCAGAGTAGGGTCACGTTACAACTGTGGTGTGAAGGGACATTATGCTTGAGAGTGTGACAAGCACCAGAAGACAGTAGGGCTGATGTTGGAAGAAGAGTTAGTTACCCATACTCCTTACTATAATGGTCCCAATGTAAATGGTTGGGAAATATAGATGGGTGAGCATCCTTTTGTTTCCGGGGGTACAGTGAAGTTTGGGGAGTCAGACCCTGTGGATGTTGCATTGCTTCGCGATACAGGTGCTGACGTGAGTATGGTGGCCAGGGATATTCTTCCCAAGGATTTTGATGAGTCACCTGTGGGAGTGGTGAGACTACGCAGTGTAGGGCAGGAATGCAGGTTACCACTTCAAGAGGTGCAGCTGGGGTCCGACTAGGGAGTCGAAAAGGCCATTGTAGCTGTAGCCCCAAACTTACCACTAAAACATGTCCAGATGGTGCTGGGCAACGACTTAGGTGGAGACAGCGTACAACCTGATTGGGCCAGGAACGCCTATGAATCAGGCAGGGGTGAAACCTTGTCAGGGTGAGGAACAAGTCGACTCAGGCAGTAGTGAGGGAGCCGACCGCGCCGATGATAACGTCGCCAGGGAGGACGACGACGAGGGCGAGAGTGCAGAGAGGTTGTTGGAGGTCGTTGAGAGACCCGACGAGGACCTACGACTAAGCCTGATGATGCAAGTGGAGGAGTGGCGAGGTGCAGCAGCAGTATGGGCGCCTGGGGCGATGGAAGAACTGCAGGTCGAACTCCCTCCACCTGGAGGTGTGAGCAAGGTGAGCTCAGTGAGTGAGCAAGCGGCTGTGAGGGACATAGTGGAGGAGCCACGACGTACTGTACCCTACACCAGCAAAGAAAATAGTGTTAGGGTAAGAAGAACTACTTTGGCGAGTTTAGCCACAGGGAGGTAAGTAGGCCCGACAACTAACCTAGAAACACGTTTTCAGGGAAGAAGCTTTCGTGGAGGAATGAAGATGTTCGTCAAGAGCAGTGGAATGGATGTTATTGAAATGGCAGGTGTAAGAAGAAAGCAGGGAACAGGTACACCCATGGTGGGAGCCAGCCTAGCCAGAGGGGCACTGGGTCAACGCCAAAGCCTAGTATAGAAGAGAGGAAGTTGCTGGATGAAGAACAGGTAACAAGTGTCGCAGTGAGGACACAGTGCACTTACAGGAGAAGAGGAACCGGGAAGAGAGAAGAGTGGTGAAGAGAAGAGTGGCTAAGAGAAGAGTGTGAGAGAAAGCAAGGTGTACCTGTAGGACAGAGTAGGGGTGCAGGAGTACTTAAGGGTGCACAGCGTAGATACAAACACAAACACATGTTTTATAGAGATAACGAATGAGTTGCTGGAACGTACTCGGGGACACAGAAGGAGGACTCCTTGTAGGGCTTCGGGGAACACCCATCTCATCCGGTCCCAGGTGAAGTGTAGGAGTAACGCGAGTGACTGGCGAGGTGGTACGAGCCACGTCACTGACTGGAGGATAGGCATGTCAGAAAGAGGAGGAGCAAGAACACCCGTTGCCCTCTCAAGTGCTCGTCATTAGATATGACTCTTATTTTAAGGGGAGGGGTATGTGACGGTCTCCTACCCTTATATCTTTACTGTCCCGATATCAAGAGTCATATATCTGCAACCTGAACGTCCTCTGATGTTCAGGAAACATTTTGACATATATGAGAGTATGGAACGTTATCGTGTTGGCAGTGAATTTGCCGTTTTAGTTTGGTTACACAAGGGGCTTACGCCCTTTTGAGTTACAAGATGGCGCCGAGGCGCTCAGCTTCCCGCCAAAGGAGTGTGACGCCTGCCGGTTGTTGAATGGCAGGGTAGGGTCATGTGACATCATAGACCAATGGGAAGGAGCCCTCGGGCGGTGTGACGTCATGAGGCGGAGGACTCCGGGCGGTGGGCGCCCCGGTGGTCTCAGTACGTCACGACCCGTCATAGAGTGTTGCTACGCTCGAATGAGCTCTCAATTTGCAGGCTAGCGTAACCCCAACCAGTGGACCCAAGCAGCCACATTGATATCACAGACGTCGTGGAACATCACTTTACACATAGGGAAAACATGAAAGCAAGGCTTGGCTGATGTTAGGGCGATAAGAGCTCCATTACTGATAGTCTGTGGCAGAGACAAACGTTGGGCTGGGATGCCTAGTGGGCCACGTTCAAACGCATCAGGCGAGCTGCTGTGGCTGGGCAAAGTCCACTGTAGTTTTGAGGAGGGGAAGCTGGTCCGGACTGCAAGTGGTGTCCACAGCTCCTGTGAAGGGAGGACGAGGCGCACGGGGACCTGACTCCAGTACCTCGAGAGGAAGAGGAGCAGGACCTGCCAGCAGAGTCTGAGATCAGCGAAGACGTGCATCTACAAGTCGACTGAGGACCTTGTGTGAACAGGACCCTGATCAACGGAGGACTAAACGCTAGGATTGCGGACCTCAGCAACCCTCATCAGAAGATACGTCGACTATGTAGCAGAAAGAGTTAAAAGTTAAGGTAGATAATTTTCCCCCCATATCCCCTTTGATATAGGTGAGCTTGAATATCTTGGATGTCGTGAGCATTGTTTTTTTTACTACTACCAGTGCGGTAGAGAGTTTAGGCTAGGAGCCAAATTACTCATGTAGGCATGAGGTAATGTATATATATATATATATATATGCACGTGGGTGTAGAGACATTTTGGGCAGCTGGAGGAAATAGTTAGATCCAGGAGGCCAGGAGTGAGCTTCTGGATAGTCCAGTTGACTGTGTTGCCAGAGGCGCGTGAGGAGTGATGCCGCCGGTGGACAGCTCCAATTACATCATTGTTAATGCGGATCAAGTGTAGTTTCTTGAGTAAACTTATCATCACTTTTAATACGTGTTTAAGTGAACCTTCGTCTCTTGGGCTATGTGAGTAGACCATATAAATATATATATCGCACTGCACTGTATCTGATATTGAATCCTTGGTTTGAGGTAATGCCTGTATACTGAGTTCCTTGGGGCTTACAGTCCCCAAGCGGGCATGTGAAGGCATAAACGACGTTGGTTTCCTTCCGGGCGTTCTGTTTGGGGTCTGGGGAGGCTTTCATGAGTAGGTTGGCCGTTTTTTTGTTTTTGTAGTAAATTGTCAATTGTATTTTCTGATATTTGTCTCTTGGGATAACGTTCCTATCAATAATATCTTTCAGAACCCTTTCCTCCAATTTATGAACCTTCGAAAAGAAGTTCCTGTTAAACAGTATAATAAGGGGTACAAGTGTTGTGCTAGTTGACTCTTCAGAGGTTGCATGGCGTTTCACATTTTTTTTATGACGTCTTCAGCATAACCGTTAGAGAACCCATTGTTGACTAGGACCTACCTTACCCTACAGAGATCTTCATCGACTTGCTTCCATCCTTAGCTGTGGCTGAGAGCCCGGTCGATTTAAGCGTTGACAACACTCCTTCTGGAGTGTTGTTCTACCCTTCTGGGCAGTCACTATTGGCATTGAGGCACATTCCTATGTTTATTTCCTTAATGAAGATTGCAGTGTGGAAGGCTCCGTTCCTTTCTGTGACTGTTACATCTAGAAAGGGCAGCTTCCCACCATTCTCCATCTCGTAAATGAACCTTAACACGGAATTCTGCTCGAATGCCTCCTTCAGCTGCTGCAGGAGCAGCTTCATTTCATTTGCCTTCATTACCTTCAACAGTTGCCTTATTACGAATATTCATGCATTGCTCCTTTGGTTTTAAATTCTTGCTAATCATAACTCCCAGATCCCTTTCGCAGTCCGACTTCGCAATCTCAACACCATCTAGCTCGTATCTTGTAACTCTATCATCATTACCTAGTCTCAGAACTTTACATTTATCACCATTAAACTGCATCTGCCAATCCTTTGACCATTTCAAAACCCTATTTAGAGCAACTTGAAGTGATAGTGAGTCTTCTTCAGTGTTAATTTCCCCTAGCGATTTGTGTATCATCGGCAATTTTGCATATATTGCTACTCAAACCTGAATCTAAATCATTTATACATATTTTAAACAACAGAGGTCCCAAGACAGAACCTTGAGGCTCTCCACTTACAACATTTTCCCCCACTCTGACTTAACCCATTTTATACTAACTCTCTGTTTCCTTTGGTATAGCCATGCCCTAATCCAATTTAACATAACACCCCAATACCATAAGCCTCTAACTTTTTAATCAGTCTTTCATGTGGCACTGTATCAAAAGCTTTCCTAAAGTCAAGGTACACAACATCGCAAACCTTACCACTATCAACTGCCTCAACTATGCTGGAATAAAAAGATAACAAATTTGTTAAACATGAACGGCCATTTGTAAAACCAGGTTGTGACTCGTTTATTAATTTATGTTTTTCAAGATGAAAACGAATGGTATTTGCAATTATCAATTCAAGTAACTTTCACACAATAGACGTTAGCCTAATTGGCCGATAGTTTGATGCAAGTGATCTATCTCCTTTCTTAAAAAATGGTACCACATTAGGAACCTTCCACGACTCTGGCACTATGCTTGACTTTAATGTTTTATTAAATATGATAGACAATGGATCGCAAAGCTCCTGTTTGCATTCTTTAAGCTCTCCAGCAGTGTTGTCTTAATGTATGGGCACACTGGGTAGTGTTCAGGGGGTCCCATGGTTCAAGGGCCCCCCTTGCTACCACATTGTTAATGAGACAACTCTTGGCAGAGTGGATAATTACTCGACCTCTCACTGGAAAGGCTTGGGGTTCAAATTCCTTTTCAAATTATATTTATAATGTAAATAATTTGTGCATAACTCTGAGGGTAATCCTGCACCTTAACAGATGGGCTGGGCCCATCATTTCGATGGGACCATCAAACCCTAGTGCATTGCTTTGCCCGGGAGCCGGTCGGCCAAGCGGACAGCACGCGGGACTTGTGATCCTGTGGTCCTGGGTTAGATCCCAGGCACCGGCGAGAAACAATGGGCAGAGTTTCTTTCACCCTATGCCCCTGTTACCTAGCAGTAAAATAGGTACCTGGGTGTTAGTCAGCTGTCACGGGCTGCTTCCTGGGGGTGGAGGCCTGGTCGAGGACCGGGCCGCGGGGACACTAAAAAAGCCCCGAAATCATCTCAAGATAACCTCAAGAAGATAACCCTGGCAAACACTTCATCCGGCCCTGGGGATTTGTTTGGCTTGAGTTTTGTAACTGTTAGACTATTCAACCTGTCCTCATCCCCACCCACATAGACTTGTTCGGCTAAAGGCATAGAGTTAAGTTCTTCTTTAGTAAATACAGAGATAAAATATTTATTAAAAATACTACTCATCTCCTCGTCATTATCCGTTATCTGACCTGTCTCGGATTTTAATGGACCTATCCTTTCCCTAACCTTTGTTCGATATATCTGAAAAAAAACCTTTAGGATTTGCCTTTGCTTGGCCTGCTATACGAACTTCATAGTTTCTTTCTGCTCTCCCTTATCTCTTTTTTAACATTTCTAACCAGTGTGCGAATTCTTGTTCTAAACTGACTTCCCCATTCTTAATCCTTTTGTACCAAGCTCTCTTTCTACCTATAAGGTTTTTCAGATCCTTTGTTATCCATTTTGGGTCATTTGTATTTGATGTATTCAATTTGTAAGGTATACTACATTCCTTTGCTTTGTTTAGAATATTTGTAAATAAGTTATATTTAGAATCCAAATCGAAATCCTCCTTTACATCACGCATCACTGGGTTCACGTCTTGCTCCAAGATCGGCCCACCGATCACACACTTCGGCACACCCTATGCCGAAGACTTTCCAAAATATTTGACCCCAGAAATTTCTTAGAATATTAAAATCAGATTTTCGAAAATCTGGCACTCTAACAAAATTTTCTCCCACAGATCTATTCCATTCTTTGCTAAATCTGATTTTTTGGTGATCACTGTTCCCTATCTTACTCCCAATTTCGATGTCATTAATTTATGTTTCCCTGTTTGTTAACACTAAATCTAAAATATTATTTTCCTGCGTTGGCTCCTTAATGTGTTGTGCAAGAAAACAATTGTAAGAAAGCAATTATTATATTAAAAATAATAATTTATGGTTCATTTTCATCTAGAGATTTCATGAGTGTCTCTAAAAAAAGTGTCTCATTATAAGAAGTAGTAGTTGTATTGAAAAAGCTATTAAGCACATTGAAAATAATAATTCAGGGTTCGTTTTCATTTTGAGATTTAATGAGTTTCTAAAAAAACCCACAAGATTGTTATAAAACATAATATCTATATCTCTCTCTTAATATCATTCCAATCGCGTTGTTAAGTAATTTTATAGATGCCCACAACATTAAAAGAAGCAGTTCGTGTCTCGGAAAAGCTATTAGGCACATTAAAAATAAAAATTTATGGTTCGTTTTTATTTTGTCATATCATGACTTTCTCTAAAAAACAAAAACACTAGATCGTTATAAAATATAATGCCTCTATTCCTCTTTTAATATGGCTCCAATCGCATTGTTAATGATCTTTAGACAATCACAATATTATATGAAGCAGTTGGTGTCTTGGAAAAGCTATTATGCACATTAAAAAAAATAATCTATGGTTCATTTTCAATTCGAGATTTTAAGAGTTTCTCTAAAAAAAATACAAGATCGTTATGAAATAAAATATCTCTATACCTCTCTTAATATCATTTCCAACGCATTATTAATTATTTTTATAGATAAACTCAACATTATAAGAAGCAGTTGGTGTCTCGGGAAAGCTATTAGGCACATTAAAAATAAAAATCTATGGTTCACTTTTATTTTGAAATTTCATTAGTTTGTCTAAAAATAAAGTCAAGAATGTTTTAAAACATAATATCTCTATACCTCTTTTAATATGGCTCCAATTGCGTTGTTTAATGATTTTTATAGATGCACACAACATTATAAGAAGCAGTTGGTGTCTTGGAAAAACTACGAGGCACATTAAAAATAATAATTTATTAATCGTTTTCATTTTGAGATTTCAAGAGTTCCTCTAAAACACACAAGATTGTTATAAAACATTATATCTATACTGTATACCTCTCTTAATATATCTCCAATCTGAACTGCCTCAAGAAACCTAACAAACTGAGGCCTCTGAACTGTCTCCAGAAACCTTACAAACTGAGGATTCTGAACTGCCTCAAGAAACATTACAAACTGAAGCCTCTGAACTGCCTCAAGAAACATTACAATCTGAGGTCTTTGAACTGCCCCAAGAAACATTACAAACTGAGGATTCTGAACTGCCTCAAGAAACATTACAAACTGAGGATTCTGAACTGCCTCAAGAAACATTACAAACTGAAGCCTCTGAACTGCCTCAAGAAACATTACAATCTGAGGTCTTTGAACTGCCCCAAGAAACATTACAAACTGAGGATTCTGAATCGCCTCAGGAAACATTACAAACTGAGCATACTGAACTGCCTCAGGAAACATTACAAACTGAGGATTCTGAACCGCCTCAAGAAACATTACAAACTGAGGATTCTGAATCGCCTCTGGAAACATTACAAACTGAGCATACTGAACTGCCTCAGGAAACATTACAAACTGAGGATTCTGAACCGCCTCAAGAAACATTACAAACTAAGGATTCTGAACTGCCTAAAGAAACATTACAAACTGAGGCCACTGAATTACCTCAAGAAACATTACAATCTTCAAGTAGTCAAACAGAATCATTTGAAGCACTTTAAGGAACATTGCAATCCTCCAACAGTCAAATAGAGTCCTCCTCAGACGTGTCACCAGAAACATTACAATCTATCATTAGTCAAAAGTTACAATCATTCATCAGTCAAGCAGAATCATATGAATTATCTCGAGAAATGTTACAATCTCTCATCAATTAAACAATGCAGTTTGTCATTAGTCAAACAAAGTCCTCCTCTGAAGTATCCCCAGAAACTTTACAGTCCATCATCACCCAAACAGTACAATCTGCCATCAGGAAATCTATTTTGGAATCATTATTCTCCCCTTTTATCGTGGATATAAAAACTTATATGCGTCTCGTTGTTATTCCTAAACCACCATTTTCGTATAACCCTAAGAATAGACTCGAAATTTGGAATAGAGTAATAAAACCTTTTAATGACTTTACTTTAAATTATAATCAAGCCCACCGATATTTGTATCATAAAGATTCTTTTTACATAGATAAAATATGGCAAAATTCTGTGCATGATAAGGGGTATTATTCTAAAAATCCAATTCTTTTATTTCAATGGAATATTCCTGATTTCAAGCCTGATGTTTATACTGATGTAAATGAAATAGAAGATGTGCAATTAAAGAACCATATAGAAGCAGTACGTACAAATTCACAAAATGGAACCAAACCTATTTACATGAACAGACAGTGGATATCATGTTTCAATGCAGCCAGTCATGACATATTTGTTCAGGGATTTTATAAATATGATTTCCCAACGGAAGAAGAATCAGATTCATTACCGCCATTTGTGGTAATGAAACTTGAACTTAAAGAAGGTAATAATGAGGTGAAATGCAAAATAGAGGCTAAGAACGTTAATACATTAAATACTTTTACTAGCATTAAATTTCATATTAATGTGGAGGACGAGGAGGAAGAAGAAGAAACAGGAGTTGGAGAAGAAGAATTACAAACAGATGAAACAGCGTCCTCTAAAGTACCTCTAGAAACGTTACA